AAACATGTATGGTATGTACTCGTACTTATATACAGATATAAATCTCTAACAAGAAGTCATGTGAGCCAACTTTCCGATTAATTCGCTGAGCATGTACTATAATGCATTTGACCTGATTTGGTAAGACAGATACCAACTTAGTTATCTTTTGGCTTGCCGTTATTCGGGTCGTTCCGCCGCTTTAATGTGTTTTGCATGCTCATCATTTCATAATTTATTCATGGAGGGATGGATGAAGGACGATGGCAGGGCGTAATTCAGCGTCAAAACAACATTTATAATAGCAAGCGTAAAAAAGTCAAAAATTGACAACAATAACAAAAACGTGAACAAAAGATACAGCGAAAAATCAATGTAAGTGACTATACAAAGCGTTTACACGCACACCCTGAAAAGTAAACTTCGTGCTGTTAACATTGTAACAGAGAGAGAGAGAGGAAAGGCGCGCGGCAGTGAGTATGAAAATTTAAGCGTCTGATTTTTAACGCCTCTTTAGCTTTCAACGCCTTCAACTGGGCTGGTGGTTGCGCCCAGACGACGTGCGCTTGGCGATTGGCAATTTCAACGGCTGCCGCACACCATAAAGTAGGCAATGATTTGCCTATTTTCAGCACAAACACACATACACGCGCGTAGCTATATTTTCCACGTGACAACCAAACGGAAGGGCAAATAAGAATAATAAAGTGTGGCAGGAAGTGTGAAAATATTGCAAGCAGTTGTGGCAAACAAACCCAAATGCGCCTAAATGCACGCTATGCAAAGCTGAAGCGCTTAGCTGAAAAGCCGGAATATTTGTTTGTGACTTGCTTTCGACAATTTTCGTTTAGCGTTCTTTACAAGTCACAGTGCAGGTGTGCATGCATGTGTACGTGTTTACTCGAAAGTGTTTGCACGCTTGTGTGTGTGTGAGTGAACTTAATTTATTAAATTAAAAGTAAATGAATAGACCATCTACACGCACAGCTACAAATTGCATGCATAAAAAACCCAAAATACTCCATCCTACTTTTCGGCATTCGACACGCTCGTAAAAGAATACATAAACAAGTCAAGGTCGCCAAAGCAGTTATGACCAGCCACATTCTTGCGGCAAACTCAGTATCTTTATGTGTGTACGCGTATTTTATGTGAAAAATATGAGAGATTTCGTTTGCAATATAGATTTCAGAAAATTTGAGAGAAAAGTTAGAGCTTTAAAATTTTTAAAAATTTTTGAAATTGAAATGAGTAGTATTTTTAGCTTTTGAAATATTTATTTTTTTAATTTAACTTTGCATTTATCGCATACAAATATCATATAATATACTATACTACAAGTATAAACTATAAAAGTATAGAATGCTTCCTATTTATTTATAAATACACACTTATCTGCATACAAACACACACACACACACACATCCATAGATAAATCCTACGCCTAGTTAAGCACACCCCCGAAATACCAGCTGATTTGCAGGCAAGCTTAACACATGAAGACAGATGGAACGACATGGTCTCGACAAAACAACGAAACCCTCCAGAGACCAAACATCAGTGTTACAAGCAAAGTCACTTTGCACTTGCAATTTCAAATATGATACTATTTTTGGAGTGTGTTTTGTGCGCTGAGTTCTTATGCTTAGCGTTGTGTATTTGCACAGTTGTTTTTGTTGTAGAAGGCTCTGTTAAAGACTTTTGTTTGGCGAAAAGTCAGTCTTGCTTTTTTCCGCTTAATTCCAACATATTCTTTTGATTCAAGCACTTCATTCTTCACTTTTTACTTTCGATTTCGTGAGTTTTGATGAATAAGGATACAGGAAGAACTTGTCCAAGTTGTCAACAAAAGTGAGGTAGATATTTCTTCCGGTAAAGTTTACGGAAGTAAGAAATAATAAAAGTTGAAATTAAGCTTTAAAAAATTTAAAATATTTGTTGAAGAATTTAAAACTGTTGCAAACGTGCTCATATACATTTTGATACTTACACTTAGAGGAAATTCGCATTTTTTTTATTTATAATAAAATATTGTATTAAATTTCTCTCAATTAGGTTGAAAAACAAAAGAACTCAAACCGGTTAGAAGCATGCTCCTTAGAACTCAAACAACGTCAATCAATCTCGTATACCAAAATGTAAAACATTTGGTTAGTATAATGAAGGTTTCTAAAATTTTATTCGAAATATTTCTAACAATTTGGTATTCGGTAACATTTGTATGCGAACTAATGGAGATTTTGTAGGCATACTTTCAACATGTTTCTGTCAAAACTTCATTGCAAACATGTGACCATACCGGCAAGCACATACATTTGTACATATAAACATATTCATGTTCTTAATATGCACAAACATGAATATATACCTAGCTGAGTACTAGACAGAAAATAAAGAATCAGACAGTTTCCTTGTTGTTGTGTTGGAGTTTTACGAATATTTCCAGCGTGAATTCGTTTACAAATATTTGCCTTCATATTGATATTTATTAGGGTTGTCTTTAATAATGGATCTACCGAAATTTCACCATTTAAATCACGGTTAAACCACGAACAAATCACGCACGTGTATTTTGGTACCTAATGAAGGCATGACGTTACAAACGATTTAAGCAATATTAATTTAATTATCTGTCACCTAACACGCAGAGTCGATACCAAGATTGTCGGAGCTTTCATATGTAACTTTTGATTTTAATAAAAGGTTTGGCTATTCTGAAGTCTAGCCGTCTTTATTTATGAAATCAAAAAGTATCACCTTAATGTCCACTCTCGTAAATACCTGCTGTGTGATCTCTATACTAGGGTGGAAATTGTTACACTGTAATATTTTTGGAACCATAACTAGTTTTGTTTAACATCAATTTATTATTATTCAAAGTATTATCAACTTGAAGCTATAACATTTTCCTAATATTCTGGCAATTTTGGGATTTCATCCCAAAAGAATTGCGAAATATGAAATAAGCTAATATTTGATACACTGTTCTGAGGTGAACCGTATTCTAGTGAGTGCGTTCGGCAACGGCTGGAAGAAATGGTAGTCAGGATGAACAAGGTTTGGCCTATAATTCTATAAAACGAATAGTTTTTAAGCGGTCTTGCAAGCTGAGAATGAAAGTTGTTATAAAGGAAGATTTCAGCAATTGCTCACTTCAGTGAGTGGTTGTTGATCCCACCAAATACAGAAAATTACCTTGACGTCATGCATATTCGGCTTTGCCGCAAATTTGGCTGGTTGGTCAGGTTTCACACATAATTTTTTGCAATTAGAGTTGTCGTTATGTATATATTTTTCATCAGCAGTCACAAGCCGATATGAAAACAACATCGCTTTGTCGCGTTCACGCAGTATTTCTGACAAGCAAAATCAACCTTTAACGTCTCTTGGCTTCAATTCATATGTCAGCCGATTTATTTACTTTATAATTTATCGGGCTGATTTTAAAAATTTCGAATTAGCTACTTCAGTCATTCCCAAAGATTCTGTGCTCAGCTACTTACTCGCCATAAACTTACACGAAAATACTTTGACGTTCGACTAAGGTTTTCTTCATATTAAATTAATGAAGAAAAAGTGCCCGCAACAACAATTTTTGTAGGCACAATATAAGAAATAATTATTATTGTTTACTCCTTAAAAGAATGAGATATGCTAAAACAAAGGACGCACCAGGCAGTAGTTTACCAACGCAGACTCGGAATATTGGAACAATCGGATTATAATATAATCAAGTCACGTCATATCTTGGCAAACTGCTCGAATATGGTTATAGACCCAATAGTTCTCAGTGAAGCAGCACTTAAAACAAGATAAATATTGGTTTGCCGATTTGAACAGATTCTAGTAGAGAGAGAAAATTATATTACTACCTAAGTGAATTATCTTGAAAGTATGCTTTTATCGTTAGATCGCACATGACATAGAGTAGTCACCTATGCTCAACTGAAAGAGTGTTTCAAAATTAATTACAGACGAAACATTTTATAATAAATTTTTTTCAGACCCTGCTAAAATTTGTCTCATAGAAATATGTACGCTTTTGATTTGATTCCAGTTTCCTTTACCAGCATTCCGAAATCAACATGAGATATGCAAATAGGCAGCAATATATGTATGTATGTATGTTTTATTGTAAAGGATTGTCTCACTTTTAACGGCATCTAACAGCTGTAGCAGTTTACACTGCTGGGAAAGAATCTAGAGTTTGAGAAGTGTAAGAAGTGAAGCGTCACTTACCTTTGTGCGCTTATCGAATTACCGCTTTCTCCGCCATAAGTGCACCTCCTTTGATTGGACATGTCTACACATATCAATGGCGCACACAAACACATCTACACATATGTAATGCATATATATTTATTATAAGTCAACATGTAATTGCTTGTTGCCTTGGTTGTGTGCTCACTTGGAAGGCTTACAAATTATTGCCCAACCGCTTGCTTCGATGTAACTATTTGTTATATGGTATCTACATATGTAACGTATGTAAATAAGCATGTATGTATTTATATTTATGTTCAAGTGTGTCGGTGGTCAGCAGTGTTTATTCAAAATATTGATTGAGCGACGACTCCAAGTGGTTGGGTTTATGAATATTATGTGGTTAGGCGAATTTCCATGCTAATGTGTGTGTGTGTGCGTGCATGTGTGGGTGTGTTTATGCAAACTATGTCGCTACAAGTGTGGTGATTATTTATTGTAAAATATGTTGCGGTAGTTGCTGCGTTGGTCATGTTGAAGCCGGTAATTGATCTTGATTAAAGTTGTGTTTTCTCAGCTTGTTCAACAACGGCGCTGTGAGGCACTTACATATGCACATATGTGCGTGTGTGCATACAAATATGTATATGTTAGTTACATGTTATGTACGCACGCATGTCTCTATGTTTGATTATTTGCGCATTAGTCCACTTGCCTAGCACTTATTGCGGAAATTCCTCAACTGACTAATTTAACTGACTTCTCCGGAAAATTTAATTTGATTTGAAATTTGAGTGAAATTGTTTAATTTTTTGCAGGTTTGGTTTCAAAACCGGCGGGCCAAGTGGAAGAAGCGTAAGAAGACCACAAATGTCTTCCGTACACCGGGCGCGCTGCTGCCATCACACGGACTGCCGCCTTTCGGCGCCAACATCACCAACATTGCCATGGGCGAGGGCCTCTGTGGTACCGGCATGTTCGGCGGCGATCGTTGGGGCGTGGGCGTAAATCCGATGACTGCAGGTGAGTTCTTACTTTTTTTCAACAGCTGACGACCCTAGTAAAGTACAAAAATAGATGAGTCATAGTACATTTAGTAAAGCGTAAATTAAATTTAAATTTGCATTGAAGCTATGAATATGTTGCTGTAAGAGTAGAAATCTATTTGATGCAAATTACAGATTCTAATAGTTAATCTAACGAAGAACTAACCCCCTTCTTCTTTTCTTCTTTTATTCTTCTACTTTTCTCTTATTTATGACTTTGTAACAATATTCATCCTCTAAATACTAATCCTGCAAATATTACCGTAACAAATCAAAGGTTTTGGTCAACTAAATCAATCTTCGCCGCTTTCATCTACAATAAATAGTGGTCTTAATTCGGGTATTAACATTGGTTCCGCAATGGGTGCTGGCAGCTATCAGCATTATGGACTAAACGCTTTAGGTATGTGCGTATAATATAATCACAGGCTTATGTAAATAAGTGTTTAAATAAAAAACAAATTCAATCAAATATTTTAATTTTATATAAAAAAAATGTATTTGGAATTAATTTATAACACTAACAACTCTTGATAATATGATGCTAACAAAAGAAATACTAACGAATGAAAATTTGTAAAGAATGCATTTTTGTTGAAAATTACTCTTTAATTAAGCAAAGTATAGCATTATACCAAATTACATCAGGAAAACCTCACACTATTTTTTTTTTGTTTGCTATTCTTTAGTAATTTTTGATGTTTTTGAGTTTGCATGATTTACCATTTGTCCTCCTCAAAGATTATTGGGAACTTGTTCAGAAAATAGTAATATTTTCGCATCAACTTGCAAGCCAGAAAAATTATTTTTTTGTGATTCATTTTATTTTTTAAGAGGCATTTTATTTATTAGTTAAATAAAAATAATGTACATTTACAGAATTTAATGTACTTTAATAATCGGCGATTCATTTTGAAAAGGTTAAGGTTCACTTGATCCCGTAGCAGATTGCCAGGAGGACCTCAGGAAAATGACGTCTGGCGGTAAAGAAGATTTTTTCTGCTTTAAATATATTAAATCCAAAACCAAAAAAAAATTTGATATTACTACAGATGAACACAAGTAATGATCGAATTACTAGTCAAAAGTTTTAACGAAATAGTGGCTTCCCATAAAAAAGTCGGTTTTGGTGAAAAAATTTGCACTTTACAGTAGCAAAAAAAATCGATATACGTTTCGTTTCTGTGAAATTTTTCTCACCGACAGCGTTTCGAGAAAAACGCGTCTAAAGTTCTGGCAGTCGAATACACCAAAACAAAAAATTGTTACAAATACGTGCATATCTTCGAAACTTATTGCTTGATCAATTTAAACTTACCGGAGTAAAATTTCACGTACTATATGTGCCATCGATATATATGCCAAAAAATCGATATTTGAATATATACTATTTGGATTTTGGATATAAACCTATAATTCAACTCAATGATGTTTGAACATATCGACAACTGCAAAACATTCCAATGAGCATTATCCTTATATAAGATATTCCATAAATACTGTAACAAATATGACAGAAAGGTGGACCAAGGATCGTTTCTTAAATTCATGATATGATGATGATGATCGATTACGATAGAAACATGGAACCAAAATTTCTGATACTACTGTTGACCATTTACCAAGTTCATTATATTGTATTTTGGACCGTTGCTCATACGCTTTTTTCAAAGATCCAATAACTGTTTACATATGGTTTTTTTGATTCATTTATTAAATACCTGTTAATTCAGTTTGACAGCGACTATTGATCTGACTCTTCCTTAACTTAACTGTGAAACTGCAGTAGTCTGGATATCACGCGCTTTTTTTCCATAAAGAAAAGGACAACGCTGTGGCAAACCAGTTTGCTTCTACTAGAGAATAGGAGTCAAAGTCCGGTAGCGAATCTGTGGATCGCACGGATGTTAGGCATTCTAATAGTGCGATTGTTTAAGATACCAGAAATATAATTTCCATACATTATAAAGCGTTGTTGGTCGCATCAAGCATTTCCCTAGGTGAAAGTCTGGTGTTAGTTCAATGTAGGAAATTTTAGAGTGGCGACTGAATTTAGCAACAGTCGCATCAATGAAAATTGCTTCTCCGTCAACTTTTTCAAACAGAATTTTATATATCTATAGAGGAGAGGAGGGAGGCCTCTCATAAAACTCATAAACAAATTTTGAGTGTTGCATCTGTACCTTTTATCGGAGTGCGAATGCAAATTAAAGAGTTGAGAAAATCATTAATATGCTGATTTAGCCAAGACGGTCATCAACCGAGGTAATTGGTGGTACTTAGAGTAAGAGTTTCTGCTCTACTTAAAGTCATATTGGAGTGTTTTAGCTACGTCCAGCTGGAGCTGCTACGATGTCGACAATATTTTCACAAGAGTGGAGGCAAGACTCGGAACGTGTCGTAGACTCTACACTGTTTAATCGTTTATAGACTTTTCTCTAATATAATAATAATATAAATTGTAGGAAATAAAGTATTTTAGTTGTTGCAATGGCATACTCTCTAAATAGTTTTCTAGAATGATTTCATTTCATTGGCGGCAAAAAACTGAGTGCATTCCAGTTGCGAGATTCGACTGTCAAGGGAACGTGAAAAAAATTTATAATAGCTATTGAGCTACTTTACCGATTTCGGCTAGGAAATTAATGCTTTATCTAACATGTATTAGTAAAATTAAATATTCGGCATTGCAGGTGGATTTATTGTTAATTTTATTTTTACTCAATTAAGGAAAGTGTGAGCACATGTACTCCTATCTGCCATTGTGCTGCTCGCCGCAATGCCACAAATTTTCCATTTATCACTTTAGTCGCTTTTAATAAACTTATCTGAAAGACAAATAAATAAATGCAAAAATGATCGGCGATGACGCAAAGTATCATACTTTTGTTGTTGTACTCGCAGGAAAACACAACTTTTTTATTTCATTTGTACACAAATCAACAAATTTGACAAAACTCTTATAAGTAAACCAGTTTTTAGAGAATTGATTAGACACGACTTTTACGCATTTTAATTTGCTCCAAAAATCGACGAAAAAACAGAATAACAAAAAAAAATATTTTTTTTCGACAGCGATGAATTTGATTATTTGCCTTTACAATTAACAATTCGCTGTTGGCAAAATGGAAAAATGGAAGGGTGCAAACAATGCCCACCGACATTGACGGATCTGTTATAGCCTTAGGTGACAATGTCCCATAAGCCCACACACACACATATACATTTGTGTTTATTTAGTAGCTTGGCGACAGTTTGGTTGCTGTTTGCTTTCACATTCCAGCGCTAATTGAAAATTTGGAGACGAATTCATGATTTTCCTATGCCTTTACAGTATTTTCTTTTGAATTGCGTATTTTTTTTTATTTGTTTGTATATTTTAAAAAGTGTTGTGGTGCGTGAAAATTTCAATGTTTACTTAAAAAATTCTCGATTAACGCTTTTGTTCGAATTTCAGGTGATTCGATGATGTATCAGCACACGGTTGGTGGCGTTAGCTGCGGCGCCAGCGGCTCGCCCACCACGACCACGCCTCCGAACATCAACTCGTGCTCATCGGTTACGCCACCACTGTCCAATCAGCCGAACGCGGGACCAAACGACATGAATGGCGACCAAATGGTGTGTATAATAGGGGGTCAATGTTGTGCTTAAGGTGAATTTGGTGGGTTTTAGTCAAGTTATAACACAAATGTCCTTTTTTGGTGCAAGCACAATATAATTGCTCCAAAAGTCTCTGCAGGACACTTTAAATACAAATGGTTTGTGCCTTGACTAAACTCATAAATTTCACCTTGGAATACTCAATTTTTTCACCACACTTACTTAAAATCTACTTTTTCGCAGGGTGGTCCACCACATCATCAGCAACAACCACCAACGCCGCAACAGCAACAACAGCAGCAGCAACAGCAACAAGCCCACCAACAGAATCACCACCATCAACAACCACCACCACAACAACAACAACAGCAGCAGCAACAACAACCGCAGACACAACATCAAGAGCATACGGCAAATAATGGTGGCTCTCATATGGTGCCACATTGTCACCAATCCATGCAATCGCCATCAGATGGCGGCAACGTCGGCGAGGAAGATGTCTGGCGAGGACACAGTATAGCCGCCTTGCGGCGACGCGCTTCCGAACTAAACGCAACATCGGCGATTCCATCGTATTTGCATCACGCGGCCGCCGCTCACAACAATTACGAACATCACAATTCGGTCTACTGAAATTTGTTGAAGAGCTTTGAAAGCTTTTCGGATTACGGTTTCCCCAGTTGTGGGAATCATGAGTTCTAGCATGTGACCAAAGCGGATGCTGATGCCAATGGTGGTATGGCGCAAGGGTGGTGATATTAAAAACAAAACACCGATGAGAATGGCAGAAGCGAATAAGCATAGAAGAAAGGTGAATAAACACACAATAGTTTGGCAGCCACTGTGCGCGCAGCAGAGTACAGTGGCTGTAAGCGTTGTGGTGAAGTTATTTTTGTTGAAAAGTTTAGCCAGAGCAAAGAACCGAACGAAGTATACGTAAAAAGTGAACTGCAAGCATAATGCAAATTTAAAATTAAGATTTACAAATAAATAAACTTGTATGCCCTGCAATATGACTTAAATTGTTTGTATGTAAGTACTAAAATAGAATATATACACAGATACGCATATATTGAAATTGTAAAAAGACGAACGTAGTAGAGGTAAGGTTGACTGTAACAGTTGTAATTTTCTTCTTTTTTTATTTTTGTTTAAATTGACAAAAATATATTTGTGTTCGGAATTTTTTTTTTAACTTCGAAAGTCAATAGTTTTTCGCTCGCACTGTACAGCTTTGAAAGTGTTTTATATGCATATGCTAAAAATATCTTTTAAATGTACAGTGACACAAAATTTTAAACGCTAAAACTTCTATTCCAGCGTTTAATACTATAATAAAGTTTTTTAAAGGTAAAAAGTTAGATAGGAAAATAAGCAAATATATTTTGCTAAATTCATATTTAAGTTGACGCTACGCCCGTATAAACTTTTGCGTCACTGTATGAGCTATCAGTTTTAATTTTTTGAACTAAAAATTTTTAGAAAATAATATTACAAAATATCGTGTATATAAAAATTTCGGTTTTGATTAAAAGTGTCATACTGTACTTAAGCATATACTTAACGAATTAATAAATGCAATTAAAGACTATAAAATGTAAAAGAACCAATGTATACGAAATGAAGAGCAGTGAACGAGTAATTATAAATTATCGAATTAAAGTTAAACTTAGTGACTATATTTACATATAACTATATACATGTTTCCAAGTAAGTTATTACATAATTAGGTGCTAAGTAAATGTTAATTAAATTCAAATATAAATAAAAAATTACAACAAAAAGCGCAGCAAAAACAGTTCTGAATAGAGTTATACCATATACAAAGTTACACAGGCAAACACAAAGTTTAAGAAGGAAGTGTTAATAAATGTCACCATAATATTAGGTTATGAAATTTAATTTCAGAAATTTTCAAACAAAAAAAAAACATAATTATTTTAAACTGTAAATAACAATATACGGCAAAATCGATTTTTTTCTGGTTATTGGACCAAGCAATTTTTTTCGACAGATGGAAGCAGTTTCTCCGTTATTCGAAGTTAGTCTTTCAAAACGGAAATAATTTCGAGACTGAGCTTATAGAAAAATTATTATTAATTATATAAATCTTAAACAAGAAAAAATATGCCAATCATTTACGTTTTCCTCACACATCAATGTGTATAATATGTTTCAATTAAGCTTATATGACAGATGTTTTACGTATAAGGTTATACTTATATTTGTTCCCATAAAGTAATTGTCAGTGAAATAAGGAGTAAAAGTCGTTTTTTTGCATATATTAAATTTGTTTTCTCAAATTGTCAAATTTCGAATTTCGAAAACAAATATCTCGATTTTGGCTAACTTCGAAAAAACGAAAAAATTACATTTTTTCTTAGTACTTCAGCTTTTTGTAATATTATTGTGGTCTAATACCCCGTTAAGTATTTTACAGTGTAATTTATCAATTAGTTTTGTCACAGTTTAGGTGTCACTTCAGCTTTGGAAACAATTACAGTTATTAGCATGTGTTCACACTATTACTAATTTAATCCAGACTTTGCCTCTCTTTGTGCAATAATATTTTAAATTAATTTTATTAAACTTTTCTGCCCACACCACATACTGTGTAAGGATAAATATGCAAGAAAAAATAACAACAACAAATACGTTGTTTTTGCCCAGACTAACAAGCCAATATTCGATATTTCACACACCAACACACATTCTTACAAATGTTTGCCTTTGTGAACATTTCAAATTGTTCGATGTACTAAATATTTGCCCATATACATAATGCTTCGACTTAGATGTAAATAAATACTGCATAGTGGGTCAAGAGTGTACTTTCGCCGAACGTAAGAAGGTTAGTGTTAAGTATTTGATTGTAAACATGTGTATGATTGTATGTGTTTAAGATATTTGAATGATTAAACCGACAAATATGTGATGATAAAGGTAATATTTTTCTTACGAAAATAGTGTAGCATATCAATGAGTTTCTGGCTGCAAATCAGAATTTTCATTGGTAACTAACACTATAGACAAGAAAACTTGTTTTTAAGTGTTAATATAAAGTTTTGTAAAAATATTATATAATATATTTCCTTATTGCGGTTCCAAATTAAATGAATGATTCATCTTGCTTTAAATAGAATGTACTCAATGTTTTCGACAAAAACTGAAAACTAAACTATTTCAAAATCTCGAATCGCTTTTTCCATTTTTTTTTATTTAGAAAGTCTTTTCAGAAATTGAGCTATTTGATAGTAATATTCAGGAAATAAATTGTTTCTAATGGCAAAATATTAAAAATTAATACATGATCGCTTACTCCATTAGAACACATAAAATTCTTTCGAGCGGAAATGTATACTCGCCCACTGTGCCACAATTCTCTTAAAGAATAAAAGAAAATTGAATGTTAAAACAAAACCGTATTAGGAGATACATACTTACATGTACTAATCGGAAGGAGATAATATTGTAATATGGTAGACTTTAATGCATACGTATACTTTAATATTTAAGATAGCTACGGATAAATGTAAACTCTACACAATAACTAAATATTGCATTGCTGCTTAAATTAGAACAAAAACACTTAAAAAAATATTAAAATAAATTAATGATAAATTAAAAATATAATATGTATAACAGTAATGTGTGAGGAGAATTAAGTATATGTACTTGTAAATAAATAAATGCGTACTTATGGAATAATAATTTAAAAAAATTTCGTTTATTGTGTATGCAAATGAATACATGATTACATTACGACATTTATTCGTAGAATTTGTGTCTCCTCTAGGAAAGAGTTACGACCAAGACGAAGAAGGTGAATCACTAAGAAAGCAGTTTTTACTACCTCTAAGTCTCTTAATGACTTGAAGAAAAAATGCATTGCCGTGAATTCTAAACTGAAACCCTAACGAAAGCGTTGTTAACAGTATTGTATTATTCACGCTCTCACAACATTCTGTATAAAGTATAATAGTATAATAGATTAGCGGTTGCTTAAAGCACTTAGAACTTAAGGAGATAGATTAACCCGACTGAATTGTTATGTGAAAATGTTAAAAAACTGTTGATAACCACACTTGCCTCAGTAGTGTCTCCGACACGTGGCAATTCTCACCTAAAAGTAACCAATATCGATGCATATCTTTTCTAGTTCGAATACGAAATTGAAAAATGAAAACATCTGCTTTTGTTCAACGCATAAAGCAGAATTTCTAAAGTTCCCTAATAAGAATACCTGTGTATTTGGTAGTTTTACACAAGCAAACATATAATTCTTAAGGGGCACAACTAGTTTGAAATTATAAACAAGAAATCGATAAAAACATAATACAATTTTAAATCGATATCTCAAATGCTTTTGAGTTATCGTCTTATAAAGCGTAGCCGCTCAGTTCAATCAGCTGCTTCAGTTTATATTAAAACGCGATTTTTTTTTTGTTTTTCAAGACTACATTTTTTATACTACTACTAAATACTAATTTATTTTAATGTCAAAGACATTGGCGCGTTTAGTGTAGGGTCATTAACTTCAGTTTTTCAGTTTATTAAGTTAAAAGAGTTTTCCATTATTGTAGTTATAGTAATAATTATATTTATTGCATATTTAAGTTCATATAATAGCTGCTGGTAGTTGCTTCTCCAGACAATTGCTCTTCATTGTAAGAACAACTTCTATAAGTCTGCTACCGGCCGCTGGACGTCTCCGTAAGATTGATTCATGTCATAAACATATTTACATAACAAATTAAATGAGCATTTGTACAATACACTCTTCAATTCTTATCTGCATATGAAATCCCTCATAAATATTACCTAAGCAATTGCAATTCTATTCGAAGTCAATCATTCAATCCGAAATTCCACATATTGTACACAAATTCAATTGAGAGCATCGACACATAAAGTTTTATCCTTTTGTATACAAGTAGGTAAGTGTGTGCAGAGGATAGAATGCATAAAATTGCAATATAAACAACACGTATGCAAATCATATACACAATTATGTGTATGTGTTTATTTGTATGTATTTGTAGAAAAAAAATTCTCAGAGTCATATCTGCATATTAGTATAGTATATTAGATGCGTATGCGAAAGGTGGAGAGAAAGTCCGGGGCACGCAGTATGACATGCTCGAATTCTAGAAATGACAATTTCCCATCACCGTCCACGTCCGCCTCCTCCATTACCTTATCGGCAATCTGTTGATGCTCCTCCGGACTTAGCTCGTTCTTCGTCATGGTGGTGAGGCAAGACATGAGGTCGCCATGACCAATGAAGCCATCCTGATCAAAATCTGTTGAGGCAAGTGGAGAATGGAATTGAACGAACAAACAGGTTAAATTGTGCTCAGTTAAATGTAAAGCTATATAAGCATTCGTATGTGTGTGTATGTGTAGGTATACCTATTTGAACATAGCCGTGTGCGTGTTTGCTTAGGAGTAGAGTTAAGTAGTGAGGGGCTTAACAGCCGAGCAGGACGTGCATGCAAATGCCAATGTGTGACAACAAGCAGTGAGACACACACACACACATATACACATACGTACACATGCATATGTGTTTAATTTACAATACAAAACATGCATGTGTGTATGTGTGCGTATGTCATTTGGCCTGCGATAGCACAAGGTGATAGCAATAGACTGTGTATGTGTGTGTGTGCGTAGATGTATGTTGTTCTCATAACAGCTCATCGACCTGTGGGGTTTTGGTAGCCAAAGTAATTTGCTTTGCTGCACGAGTGCCGTGCGGCGCAGACGAAAAGTGGCACATTGAAGCTGCAACGTCGTTTTCATTAAAATTTTCTTCATTTCTTGCCCCTATAATGCATTACAATTTGTAGTGATTACCTGCAGCAATGAAATTTTATTGCTCAGCGCATGCACTCAGGTCTCGCACCAACACCGTATACCACTACATACATACATACATATATGTAAGCATGAAGTGTAGTCTACATCTAGGCGCACGCCATTGCATGCATTCGTTGTTCGAGTTTGTCTTATGGAAGTTTATTCAATTTTATTTAATTGCATTACCGCTTAATATGCATATTTTATAAGACTCTTAATATCTTATGGAGAAATACAAACAAATGGGATTATGTGCATTTCATATATGGTACATACATATACATACAAGTATATTATATATGAATTGAAATAAATATAGACACTTTCGAAATGCACGACATCACATTGAGGAAATCGAATTATTTTCACAATAAATTACAAAGACACTTAGAAGTTTTCATGCTCTCCAACTGCTCAAGCTGCATTTGTTTTGCTAGGAACATTTGAAGAGTTGAATTTAATTACTTGTGTGATAATCCTAAATCCTGACATGCTCAGTTTTTAAACTAATCCTGATATAATTAGTTTGTAACTAGTCGAAATAAAGTGAAATTATATATTAAATGTAGTTAAAATCGAAAATCTAAAATATATTTTTACGTGTTTCCAGAGTTTTTACTGTTACTAACGACGCATTTTGGGCTTTAGAAGCTAGCAAGTTGTCATGTTTAACAGACTCAGATTTCAGACAAAGTGAATTTTCGGGCCTCTGAACTACTATGATCAGGAATTTAGTGCTCGTCACATATAATTTCTGCAATGAAATCTGGCAGTCATGAAAACGTCTTCAGCGTCTATATTAAAACATATTTATTACTGTTTACTATGTTTATTGAGCAGCCACTTCAATATATATTTTTCTATTGCCAAACGAAGATGTAATCATATAAAACTTGTTGTAGTAACTTAATTACGGATTGTGCGATAGGTTTTCATATAAACTTCAAGAATTTTGCCTTGAGTTTTTTGGGCTTTTTATTGGTCTATATTTCGTGTTTTTTTTTTATTCCATTAGTAAAATTACATTTTGGTATGAAAAATGTTTATGTAGAATGTAGTACAGAAAGAATCCTTATCCTTGGGCACATTGAATTCCTCAACGGGTAGCCGTTTTATCAATTACCACTATATGTGCAATAATATGGAATTAAATAAAACCAAAAATTGAACTTGGCGTTGACAAAGGAATTATTGATTTTGCCGATGGAAATTCAGAAAAGATTTGACTAAAAAGGGCATTAAGAAGCTTTCAGAAACTATACAAATATGAAAGCGAATGAATTTTTTTACATACCTACACACACACACACACAGGGAAATAATAAAATTTATTATTATTAAAACACGAGTATTCAAACCTAAAAATATACACAGGAAAATAAGCATATGAGATTTCAATTTGCCTTCAGCCTAAGCTATTATAGTCTGCCAGCATTATCGATGTATAAGTTGTCGATTTTGATTTCAATTTAATTGTGGCTTTTGTTCGATAAGTCCGTAAAAATGTTTGGCTGTGCTTTGCTTTATTTTGTTTTAGGCGTTTAATATTAAAAATGCATAGGTTTTGTCGGCATTTGTTTACGGTTTGATTACAAGAGAAAATTGAAAATTCCAATATCCATGCACACACGCACACACTTAGGCATACATCCCGCCGGTGCATAAGCAGATTAAAGCAAAACAAAAACAGATCCAATACTGATTGCTTTTAACAAACTGCATAATTAATTTGTTGTTTCCGATTTGTTAAATGCTCCAATGAAATTTCGATGGCGAAGAAGTTGTGAGAGAGCAATGTTGCGTTAAAAATGCATGGAAAAGGAAGTTTATAAAAAATTTTAGTGTTTAAGGGGCGTTAAGGGGTAGTAAGTTTATATGATGTGGAATATATAGTGTATATATAGAAAACTCATCAAAAAGAAGAGAGCTTTTTATGATGTCAATACGATAGCTTTCTCTTTTCTAAATTTTAGCTGCTAGAATTTATAAGTAAAGAAAACCTTCATCAAAAGTTAGGTTAAAGTCATATTTACTTTTGAATTTCAAAAATCAAATTTTTTCGCATATAACTTCATATACATATGCATATTGCAGGTGAAAATATTGGTTTATTTTTTCTGAAAAATTTAAATTGATGCGCGCAATAGTTTCGGATATATGAGTATATTTTGCAAGAATTTTTAAACTTAGTGTTATCAGCTCTTAAAATCTTAAAGCGTTTTTCCTGCATCGATCGTCTTGAAAATTTCACGTGACTTTCTTAGATAAATTTGTCAGGTCGAAGATCGAAGGAATAAGATTTTTAATAATAATTTCTACTTTTTAAGCCACTCTGTAGTGCAACTTTTTGCCAAAAAAAAAACGATTTTTCTCAAAAATCAACATTTTGACTAGTCCTTCGAGTATTTAATTAATATATAGTGACACTTAATATTTTTCGTTTTTGTAATTTCGATCATTTTAAGCAGTTGTAACTGCCTCACCGCCTGACAACTTTTTCGGATATCCTTCTGGTGATCGGCTAGAAACATTTTTTTTTTTTTAAATAATTCATCGATTGTTAAAGTAAATTGTTTTTATTTATTTACTAATTTTATTTAATTAATTAAATCTTAAAAAAATTCATACAAAATTCGTTCTTTTACTTGCATGTGCATAAAAAACCTTAACATAAATTCGAATAATTATTTATCAAAGTACGGCTATGCGTTAAAATTCGCTTACGTTGTTTCGTGAGTGCAGACGGACATACTTGTATACCCACAGTCGTATAAATAAAATATAATATTTACTTTTGATGTAATATGTATTTAAACTGTTCCTTTTGCTGCACTTTTTCAAGGACACTACCAAAACTTGTTAACCTCAAATTGTTCATTTTAAAATTACAACCAAAAATCGGCAAACAAAATGTAAAGGCAAAACACTAACACAAATCTATGCTAAAACTAAGTAACTGTTTAATCTTTAAAATCTTTGAAATATTCATAACACTACTATGTTGCACGGCACAAATATGTTGCCACACGCTCCGGAATGCAGTTGTGCGTTTGGATAACTTTTGTTTTCGAATTCACTTACACTTTGTTTTGCAATGAAACATTTATTCTAGCGACACAGATTGTCTTATGAATTCGCAACGCTACTAGCATATTTTTCATTCCAATTCAACTCACTACAACAACACTTGCTCTAGAATACACTCGTAAAGCAAAAAAAAAAAAAACGAAAAAAAAAATTGCAAAAGAAGCGACTGAACGATATTATTTTCTTTTATAGTCCTCAGAATGACCAACTGAATGGTCGTAACCGAATATATGCAAGAGTACAAATGTTATGGGCACAGCTGCATGTCAAGTAACACTGTTCTACAAATTTTAATTCACATCAAATTTGTTTGATGAAGTGATTGTCCAAAGTGTTGTTGAACACTATCGTTTCATTTATTTTTAGTCATAGCCACATATAAATAGAATCGATTAACACTTTTTTTCTTACATTAGTACACCTTTTTTTTATGTTCGTGTGAAGTTTGACTTACGACGCAAAAGGTTTGTCTGGCGGTTTTTATCATGTCAAAAAAAACGATGAGTTAACCTGAAATTTTGTGTTTCCAATAGATTAAAAGCTATGGAATCGCCGAAAACATTGCATTCAGTGAAGGTCGAGAAGTTATCGAAATCGCCCACCTGCCTTTGTTAATGAAGATTACTTCGGAAAAATTAAAGAAACAGTAATTGGAAATCGTCGTATTGGCATTAAAGATATTGCAGAGGATCTCAACTTATTTTATGGGTCAATACATTTTGGTTAATATTATAGGCACAAATCGTGTCAATGTTAGACTCATACCACAAGTACTGATTTTTTGGTCAAAACGAAGTCGAATAGAGGTTGCAAAAAAGATGCTTGACAACGTAGCTGGGGACCCTACAGTCATCAAACGCATCAGTACTGGTGACGCGACGTGGGCTTATGAATATATCTTCGAAACTGTCTAACAATCTACTGAATGGCGCTCATTCATAAATTTTGTCACCAATGGGCTTTGATGCGCCATGAGTCGATTGAAGTCATTAAAGTAATTCGCTGAAGGCTCTATACAGAGAAATTGCTTTACGTACGCTGCTCTATATTGGTTGGAAAGATAAATTGTGTTGTATGGTGTTCTCAGTTGAAGCATATGCAGAATATCCTTGAACTCAGACAAAAGGGAAATTGCTTATACCAGCATTTACATACATGCAAGGGTACGCACGTGTGTGTGTACATGCATATACATATATATATATACAATAATATATAAACAATTCCACAATTGCAATCATAAATGTGTGTTTCTGTTTATTACAAAGAAGCACACACAGAAAATAGAAATTAGAGCGGTAAATATTAGTGCTGGTCGTGATTGTGATAAAATTGCCGCACAAAAGTCACAACTAAAATAAAAAACAAGAAAAAAAATAACGGTGAATTGTGACTTTCAAACAAAGCGCATTCAAATGTCAAAAACACACATTCTCGGAAAAACATATAGCGAGTATGTGAGTATGTGTGTATGAGGCGAACTGCCAAAATCTGACGCGTCGCGCCCACTTGACTGCACAGCGTGTGCGGTAAGCATGTAGTGGTGACCAAATTTTAGACGAAAAAATGCAAATGACAATAAACAGCGTGGCTCAAATACGCGCGCACACATACACCTACACACGTGTACTTAAAAAAGCGCATGCATGTCTCTGCAAGCGATAGACAATGGCTGCAAGCCCGGTCGAACACAAATATGGCGGTTAAGCCAAATTCGCCAAAATGGCAACTACAACAACAGCAACGATCTTCTTTTGTTGTCCATAATTCGCTGCCACACATACACACGCACGCAGGCCAGCGCACAAAGGCATTAACCATTAGCGCAACAAAGCCACAAACGTAAACAATAAACAACAATGCAACAACAACGACAACAGCAGTGCACAAAAGACGCGCGCAATTTCACGTACTCACCGTAAATTTTGAAGGCATAAAAAACTTTAATGTCCCTCGGCGCCTGCTCGCTGAACACGGACAATGCGTCCAGGAAATCTTCGAAGGATAAATTGCCTTGGCCATCGCGCGAGAAGGCCTCACAGATGCGCCGCCGGAAGGGATTCTCGCGCAATTCGGGCATCTTCTCAATACACTCGCACGGCACCTTGACACTGGACGCCTGGCCCTCGGTCATTTGGCGTGGCACCAAATCCGGACGTAGCTCGCGAAAACGCTTGTGAACGCTATGACAAAAGAAAAGCGAAAAGAAAGCGTATGGATTAGTTAGCGGATATTTATACACCACAATAAACATTCCGATTTTGGCAACATTCCGTTAGTTCACAGCACTGAGTTTCACCACGCGAATAGTTTTCATGTTGCCGTCTTTAATGTGTTGTTGCGCCACTGTTCTCGCCACTCGGTGTCGCCTACGCAATCGATAAGCATGCCACGACTAAAGACCATAATGATGGCATGTTCGGGAATGTAAGCGATACTTCTGGCACGGAAACGTTAATGCATGCAAAATGTTGCACACAAAAAATGCACGAACAAAGCGTACAAGGAGAATGTGCACAACAAAGGAGTTGTTCGTAATGTTGCAAGGCACACAATGAAATGCAACGACAACAATAGCGAATGCGAAAATTATGAGCGCAGTTCGCTGTCAATGGCTGAGGTCAGTGTAAAATTATCCTTACCGAGTAATAAAAGGAGTTGCAAGTAAGCGGCCAAGGCTGCAAGCTGCCAGAACATTGCATAGAATTGAGCTCTTTAAATTTAAAGTTGCCGGGTTAAGTTAGACGTGCGATGGCGACTCGAAGTGGAGTTCGGTGCCATTGACGGCACTAAATTTCAAAGCAAAATTGTGCCCGAAACTATGAGTTTTTTGAAGGTTTTCTGGTTATTAGAACAAGGTCTAAGGATGTATAATTCTTTAAAATTCTTTAAAATGTTTTGCAGAATTTGATGAGTTCATTTGTACAGGTTAGCAGTTGTGCTCCAAGCAACTTACCTCCTACCTTAAGCTCGTTTTTCTTTCAAAATTAATAGGAGAATAATAATCGCCACCAGCCGGTAACATATTTTGATTCGGTAACAGAACTTAAGTGGATTCACTTAACTTAAGTATGGATTATTTCGGAAGATATTCCGTTTAAGTGCGTGGAAGTAATTCACTCTGTGTTGCTTCGTCTAACCTATCTTCGGAGGAAAACTTTTTTTACTCAGTTATAGCAAATTTTCGACATGCGCACATCAACGCTTCAACCATACAACTTTTTTCTGCGTCTCATACTGGAGACGTCCAAAGACTTGTGTGTTCTTATATAGATCACTTTTTAAAGTTATAATGGGTGTTTTTTTAGACGTGTGGTTTTCAATGAGGTACTACTTTTTTCGAAGTTGGTCTTTTTGACAGCTGGCACTTGATTTATACTCAGTTGAGAACAACGTTCGAGCCTGGTCACCAGCGCCAACTTCATTGGCTAACTAGTCGCCTTATAATTAGTCTTGATATTATATAAATATTATTTTTGCACTAGCTAAAGTAGAACCTCAGGGACAGAGTTATAGTCAAGGCCTTTAAAATCGATTTCTAGAAGCCTCAAACGTGTGTCCATTTGGCATTCTAATCCATGCAAGTGCCAATATAATCGACAAAGGTTGGTATTGGCGGAATCTTCACCACTTGGAAACAAGATTGCATCTTCCAGTAAATTCCACTTTCCCGGTCACCTATTGAGGTAGATCTAAACGTTTAGTAAAAGTGATAACTGACTTTAGCTATTTCTGCAATCACCTTGTCTCCAACTTTCTCTTCAAAATCAAGCAAACTCACCGTAAAATTTCCTTACGCGTAAAAAATGTACAGTCCTTCGGTTGTCAGTGAACAAGCAGATATTGAAAAGTACATAGAAGTTAAATATACAGTTTTCTCTTTCTAATTTTAATTATCAATTTCAGAGAGTCACACCTGATAGTCATCCAACTGTTGTTCTGTGAATGTGGCAACTTTATTACCCATAGTGATTTGTTATTGTCGCCGATTTAAATATGCGTGTGTGTAATAAACTCAGCCGTTTGGAAAACAAAATCTCAAAACTCACAACAATCGCCCAGTCCAATTTAAACTTTCTACGCTGACTTCCACTGCATGACTGAATAGTAGCAGTTTCTAAACATTTTTCCAAACTCAGCATTTTTCCACGTGCGTGAACTTTTTAGCAAAAGAGCGACTGTTGTCTGTTGGCTGCTCCACTTCCTGGTGTTGTCCTGTTAGGGCACGGCTCGGCACCTTCATACTTTGCATGGCATTCGGTTTTTATGTTATTTATGATGTTTTTTTTAGCACAGCAGGCACATGTAAATTAATTAAGGAGTGCCCTGCTGCCGTGCTGTGGTGTGTAAGTCTATGAGTGTTATCTTTTTTGAGGTTAGCTTTAGCAAATGTTTTTTGCACCCTACATTCAGTCAGTAAGTTTGTTTTGCATTGTTCGTATTTAGTAGAGCTGAAATTTTACGCGTCAAAGTTCGGTAACTTTCTCTATTTTATTACAATCAGTCTTCACAGTTTTTTGAATATTAATTAATGAATAGTAATTTTAGCGGTACTAAAAATTCGTCTTGAACGTAAGTAGAAAATACTTTACTTATTTCTAATGCAAAACGAATTTACTTAGCTTGCATTTTTATTTAAGGGTGCGCCCAGACGCCACCAGTCCGTCGTTTCTTACTACGAACATTTATTTTAAGAGCACAGTGGTTCAAAACGTAGTTACTTTCCTTTATGGAGCAGAATAAAAAATATGTGAACGGCGGTCCAGCTGAATTAAGTTTCGGTTACACCTATCGAAGGAAATTAGATCTTCAGTGCTATGCTTTGATACTCTGCTTACTGAAATAATACAGACAACGAAATAAAACCTTCACTTATTTTTCCTTTTACTTTGTAGAGTTACCAGAGCATTTTTTAGATTTCGATAGTTTATACGTTACAAAAATTAAAACAATTTAATCTCAAATCAATACCTCAAATAGTTTTTGAGTTACAGGCAGGGTTGCGAAAATGAAGCTTAAATTTACACTTCCAGAATATTTTTAGCACTAACTCAAAGAACTTAAAGCTGCTTTTATAGCTGAATGTGTATGAATAAGATATTGAAATGCAATTATGTATATATGTATGTATGTATGAAAGGCTTCGCACTGAGGGTGAGTGCATTTTTTAGCTTAACACTGCATTTATTATGAAGCATATATTAATAAAAAAGTGAGATATATTTACATATTTATATTTACATTTCGGAGCGTTAATATTATGCTGCACTTCCTTTTCAAGTCTTTTGCAGGCGCGTTTCCCTTGTGAACACACACACGCGCCAACACATACCAGCTAGCCATCACGAACTGCTATCCATAAATAAGTTGAGGGCTTGAGACGTCTGTTTAATGTATTTACACAAGTGACTATCAGGTTTTGGATCCAGGTCGACCAGCGTGACTTTGGTGAGAAATGTTCTTTCGTAGAGCGGCATTACGACGCAATGCCTCGGCAGCGACGTCGCTGTTGTCAATTCACTGAAAGGGATGAACGAAAAAACAAAAAAAGTGAATTAAATATGTCATTAATTACCGCGTGGCAGCTGCATACGATTATCATTCTACTTACGGCGACCGTGGATGCGCGCGCTTTGGATGGTGCGTGGATATTTCCTGAAACGCCAGCATTATCGAGCAGTCCAGCGCTGTGGCGCCCAACATGTACGCTTCCACGGGCTGCAATGCATCTCCAATTTGTTGCTGGCATGAACGTTGCAACAAGGCTTTTAAGGCGTTGTATGATTTTTCCGACTTACGCGTATAACCGGCCGCATGCAGGGCGGGCATGTGGTGCTGCGGAATGCCAGCGCGGCGAAGTTGACGAGAACGGAAGATGGATTGAGTGAGAAATGCGATAAAATTGTCACATGAATGCAAAAGAAAGTATTGACGACACTGTTAAATATAGCTTAAACAAAGGCGACGGCAGAGCCAGCCAACAACCGACCACTGACCACCGACAGCGTGAAGACGAAGCTGACAAGCCGTCCAAACAAACACGGACTGCGCGAAAACACCGCATAAGCTGACTGTACTGACAATTACTTCCCGGCACACACATGCATATATATGGTATGTATGTACAAGGGTAAGCATGTGTCAGTGTTTGCGTTATTTGGTCGTGGTGGCTTCAGAGTAGTGGCGGCTTTTCATTTCCCATTACCTTGGCCGGCATCCAAGTGGAAATTACTAGCTGCACACTTTTCGGCCAACCACTTGAGTGGCAGTTTGCCGTTTTGCGACCAACTCAGGTAAACAAGTGCATATTACTGGGGTATGACCTTCTTAAAAGCAAATATGCTTTTCATCTACCTAACATCTTTGCCATTAAGTTTATAACACTCGGAAGGCAGTGTCGGAGACTGTAAAATTTATATCTCGTATAATGACGGGCTGAGACTATTTTCCGGTGTCCGTCTGTCGATCGGTCTGTATAAACGCGAACTAGTCCCTCAGTTGTTGAGATATCACTCTTAAATTTTACATACGTGCTTTTCACCACAAGAAGCTGCTTACTTATCAGAACAGCCGATATCGGACCACTATAGCATTAAGCTGTCATACAAACTGAACGACCGAAATGCAGTACTGGTATGGAGTTATTTTGTATTTGACCAGATATCTTCACAAGTTGGCATGGATTATTGTCCTCGACAGCGGCATAATATCCGAAGAAACTGTATATAACATATAGTATAACTGCCACAAAAAATGTCCGATCAAAATCATTTATTTGAGTAGTACTAACACTAGTTTATTGCTTATTTCTAACAATTATATAGAGTTTTCTATTCTTCATAGATTTTAAATTAAGTACAATCACAGTTTAAGTCTTCAAGAAAAGTCATACCCCTAATGCCTTCCTGTATGCTTGTACACCTTAACTGTTAAACTGTCTACATACAATGTCGCATTTTAATTTTTATTTATATTTTCGTCTCTTATTCAGCGGCGTTGTCGGTTTTATTGTTTGTATTCATTTCGTTGGCATTTTTAATTTTATTTTGCTTTACACTTTTCCCACATTGTTTTTATTTCTTGGTTTGCTGAAAAATCACCAACTCGTTGTGTGTAAATCCCACACCGGTGTGCCATGTTGTCGCTCTTCTTCTTTCATGCGGCGCCCAACCAAACACATACAACAAAAACTCATTTAAATAAAGTCACACACACACACTTGCATACACTTGCATGCACTTAAACTGAAGGTTTCCTCACCTTGGCCAACAATTGCAGATGCAAAATTTTTTGCAGGACACAATTTTTCGGTAAGCACAGCGTTTCCACTTCGGTGATTTGTGCTTGCGAAGTTGTCTCCAGTGCAACAGTGTCAGCTCTTGTCGTCGTCTTGGTCCGTGGACGGGGTGGAGTCGGTGAGCTTCGAGAAGCCACTCGTGCTGTCGGCTCCGTCGCCTCTTGGGCACCATCCGTTAGATGTGCTAGCATTACGTTGCTTTCTTCCGACGTCCTCCCCATTTCGTCCTCTCTTTGTTTCTTCTCTGCCGTTGCGCTTTGTGCTGCCACCGCGCTTAAGTGTGGCTGACCAGAAGCAGCTTTGGCTACTTCAACAATTTCAACGGGTTCGTTGTTGGTTGCAACACTGCTGCTGCTGCTACCTTCGCTGCTGTCGCTACTGTTGTTGTTGGCCGTGTAGTCCCTCAGCAGGCACGCCACCACCAAATCTTTTAAAAGCTCTATTTGGCTGCTGTTGAACATTTTTCGCCATTTTTCGGCATTTTTCACATTTTATTGCCGTTTTTTTTTTATTTTTTATTTTTGTTATCGTTGTTGTTAGTGTTGCAGAATTGCAGTTTTCATTGCAATGTCATGTTATGTTATGGATGTGGCACGTTGACGGCCAGCGCCGGTCCAGTGCGCGAAAAGGTGTCGTCATTCGTATCGAGGGCAGTGCCGGATGTTGCACGAGTGGGCGGTGGGGGTCGCGAGTGAAGTGTATGCACATATACAAGCAAAGCGAGTGTGTAGAAGTGTACAAAAGCGAAAAATGTTGTAAAATATTTATTTACAGTAGAGACGAAAAATGGTTGAATAAATAAATGAATTGTTTAGTTTGTGTTATTTATTGAATTTTTTCCTGTGACACAGTGCCGAGTGAGTGCAAATGGAAAAAGTGGAGGACCTAACCAAAGTGGTCAAAGGAATGTGTGTGTGCAGCCGGTCCATTGTGGGCGCACTCAACTGCAAATGTAATTGTGCAACCATGTTTGTTCCATTTATTTGCAACTTAAATACGAAAAAAGGCCAAAAATGTGTCGATGTGCGTCAAAATGTGTCCAGCGAGTAAAAATATATTGCTCTGATTGATGGCACTGCGCACATTTTAGCGGTAATAATAAAGAACCTCGAACTTTTATTAACTTTAAGATATAAAAATTGTTCAACTTATATTTGTAAGCCGAGCTTTCATAAACCCAAGTGCCTAGAAAATGCTTTAAATTACAAGTAAAAAAAATCATTACAAAGAAAAAGAAGAAATAGGGATAAGCGAGTGAGTGTAATTATGTTTTAATTTAACCGTTAGATTTTTGGTGTATGCTAGTTAAAAGCACAGAATTGTTCTGAAACATTTCCACTTAATTCCGATACAATAACATACATATTGACCCAAAAAATCAATATAAGCTTCACGGAAGCTCGAAATCATTATGTTAGGTAGAGGGGGTAGACGAAGAGTGAACCCATTTCATCCATTTCAGGAATTAGGAATGTCAGCCATAGGCAGTGATTTGAAAAGTTATAGTCCGACATCGACCATTCTTAGATGAGAGACATGTTTTACAAACCACCATCACGACATATTTTACAGTATTTCTTTGATAAAGACGAGAACGCAAGCCGGACTGAAAACAAAAATAAGCTCCATGTGTGGGTGGTACTCGAGTTAAGCGGTTACATGGGTTTCACGGCTTCAAAAAAAATTTTCTTTTATTGTCTTATTTATTTCTATAACATCTTTAGAATAATGTCCTAAAATTTTTTTGCTCAACGAAACCCATGTAACCCCTTAATGTTAAAAAACCTCATGTGCCAAATTTCCATCTGCGAACTGCTGCGGAATAGCAACATAATATATCTTTTCTAAAGCCGATGGTTATTGGAAAGTAAGTCACTTAGCACAAGACCAAGCGAAAATGGTCGTTGTTTCTCTGCGTTGAGCCAACGCAAATGGTGGCCAAGTTTGGATTGATGATCAGGAAAAGTTCGCTGTGGCTACGGCTAAACTCATAACTCGGACTTGTACAGTTAATAATTGGACCGTCTGAAGGAAGCAATCGCGCAGAAGCGACCAATATGGAGGGAATTGTGTTCCCCCCGGACAACGCCAGTCCATACAAAGCGCTAGTGACTCGCCAGAAGCTCCGTGATGTCCATAAGTCTGGACTTGGCACCAAGTGATACTACCTGTTCCTGCCTTTGGCGTATGATTTTGTGGGTTGAAAATTCGCCTCAAGACAAGCTTGTGAAAATCGACTGACCCAGTTTTTTTGCAATTGAGGCGAGTGTTTCTGTGAGAGTGGCTTAAGCAATTATCTGTAAAATGGCAACAAGTTATCGAACAAATCGAACAAAAGGGTGCATATTTGACCTAAAACGGATCTGCTTAACTCTGCTAAAAAGCAATCTTTCAATATATTGCAAAATTAATGAATTACTTTTTACTAGACCTAACATACTCTAAATTTGGGCCAAATAATTTTCTGTCAAAAATTTGCAGCATCATATTCTATAATGGAATGGATGAGGTTCTTACCGGCGAAGCGTTTATAAGTTAACAAAAGAAGCGCACTTACCCTGGAAATATGTTCTGCGTCAAGTCTTCGTAGCAATGCTTTTCGCCATCATATACTAAAGTACCGTTACGAAATATCCTTAAATTATTTTGCGGACAGCGAAGCAGAGCATCGATTGCGGTAGCCATTTGCGCTGGAACACTTTAAGTAAACAAGACAACAGATAAGAATTAGTAAGCAAAACACAAATGAAATCAGTTGCAAAACAATTATAAGAAATATCAAACTATATAAACTATGCATGAGTTGCTTGCGCTACTAAAACTTTGCGGCATAATTCAACAATCAAAAGCCGCTTACGCGCATACTTCGGAACTACCGCATAATACTTATAAGAATTCGAAAAAATAAATCCAACAGATGCCGCACAACTTACCCGGAAAACAACGCCAGCGGGCAATAAGAAGTTCGCCTGTTGATTTTGCCCGTGTGCAGCTGCAGAGAAGAGAGAAAACAAATAAGAACAGGAAAAAAGTGACGTAAGTAAAAACGAGCAACAAAACGCCGCAAGCAAAAGCAATATTAAAAGCACAATACGGAAATACAAATGTACACACATACGTGTAGTGGATGCGCACACAGCAGCAGCAACGCCAAGCGCATAAAAATGTATGGCGGAAGCGTGGAGTAAAAAGCAGGAATCTGTTTGCGGTTCAACGACTGAATTTGCATAAGAAATGCTATTCAGCAGCCAAGCAGAAGCGTAAAATAACCGTAGCAACGGCGCAATAAAGCACAGCGCTTTCAATGACAATTTTGCCCGTCGCAACGCGCCCGCAGGGCGAGCGGCGGGTGACGACGGCAGCAATGTTGCTCATACCACGTGGTACACCACGTGGCGTTCGTGGCAATTGCAATTGCCCGCAATGAAAAGCGGAATAAGCGAAATAAACGGAATTGTTTGCCGGCAATGCTGCGGTATGCCGGTGTTTTGTCGAACCGTTATTATTTTTCTACCAACGACTTTGCACTTGCTGCCGTTGTTTTCGTTGTTGTTGCTGCTCGTCAGCGCTTTTTATGCAATTGTCGCTGGCGTTTACGTTGCGCTGCTCCGCCTTACCTTCAGAAATTGCATCGCACAGAAGCGACACCTTGCGACGTGGCAGCGCGCTGGCTTCGCCATAACCTCCGCTCTCTTGGTTTCTTGCTGCTGCTCAGCCGTTGCTGCTGTTGCAGTGGCCAGCGCTGGCCTTTTCTTCAATTCGAATAAATTGCTGACGACCTCGGTTGGTAGCAGCCATCCTTGCTTCGGTTTTATTTCGATGGCGTATGTGTCGCCGATCAATTCCGACTTCGATTGCATTTTTTATGTCACACCATTTTTATTGCGTTATTTGTTTGGTTATTGTTGTTTGCAATGTGTTCCGTTATTTTTTATGGAAAGAGAAGAATAAACAACATATTGTTAATTGCCGCGCATTGTAGGTCTGCTGTGAAATGTAAAATTGCTGCTGGAAAGCAGCAACAATAAAGTGCATAAAGCAAACGAGCGCACGCACACACATACACACAAATATATACGTATATATATATAAAGTTGTGGGTGTAAAGAGCGTAAATTCCAGTTATCGCATAAATAAAAATACGAATGGTTGGCGGTGCATAACGGTGCAAGCAAGTTCAAATTGAAAACAATTATTATGATTTCAATTGGTTGCACACGTTGGTGGCGTTAAAAATGTTAATGTGCCATCGAAAAAGGACATACAAAAGTAGCATGAAGGAAGTATGTGTGTGAGTACTTAAACCAAATATGCATATTGGAGGCATATAAAAATTATAGCAGCGGTGCCATAATTATACTTTTTATGGAATCGCCACTTAAGGGGAAACTGCTGATTGTTATGGGTTTCCATTTATCAATGACGACTTTTGATATTCTTTATTACAATATTAACCGATATGTTCAATTATGATGGGCTCAAACCCACAAAGTCTCTCTAGTTTTCAGATAATCAGCGCTGGTTGGTTAGAATATAAGGTATAGTACCAACATTCGTCTCGTCTTTGAAGGAACATACTTTCATGATCTTGTTACTGTTGTAACTAGTAAAAAAACATTAAATCTTGGACACTACAGTCTTTTTTTTTTAGTACTAGACTAGCATAACCTTACCTTAAATTGCTAGCCCAGCATGTTATTAAAAGTTGTATAATTGTTTTGTTCACCTAACGGTTGTTGGTAACTAATTGATACATACATATATAGAGTTTATATACGATATATATGTACGTATAAATGATCATGATGACTAAGCGAATTGAAAACCGCGTGATTGTCTGTCCGTCCGTCAGTCTATCCGTCATTTTTGAAAAATGGATGGGTCCTAATAAGTTTAATGTGTTCATCTCACAAACCACTAAAGCTATATCAACCAAATTTGCTCAGTACCAATAGTTGTCGAAGTCGGTTCAATACTTCTCCTAGCCTTAATATACCCTATATAGTCATTTCCGAATTTTTTAACAAGTTTTAACAGTTTATATGTTATAAAATTTGCGGTTACACTTTTTTACTTTCTTACTTGTTAAATTAAACATTGATGATATTCAACTATTCTTAATAACGGATAAAATGGTTAGTCTTGAAGTTGTTATTGCGTATGTCTTTGCGGGGCCAGTCTTCATAAAACGTGTAATGGAGGGAGTGATTCAAATTTTCGTTGCCTATATTGTCGTGCGCAAATATTTTTTAACTGAAATTTGGTAAATTGCCACTTTATAGATTCTAACATATAAACGCTCAATAAAGCGAATTTTTGTTTTCACTAAACTATGTAAAAAACAATAAGCCACAGTGTAATAAAATGCCAACTCATTCCACGGAACAGCCATTAAAAATTTGCTAAAAATGCTCGTTGCACCGAAATATGCTTCTAAACCAGGTTAACGATCACTTTTGTGCACAAAAATCTAGCTTTCTACGTTTTTTTTAGTTCGAACTATAAACCACTGGGTCCGCTGTTCTCCGGTTTAAAGAGAAAAACAAGTGCGATGATTTATTGCCACTGTTGCATGGCCACGTTGCACCAATGGCGCAATAAAGAAGCCGAAATTGGTGTTGTTCTGTGAACACTAAAAGAAGCAAAAAATATATTTGAAAGCAGTATTTATAATCAATACCCACCGAGAGTGGATCTAGCACCAACAAACACCTGAACACTGATGCAATCGAGGTGCGCTGGTACTAGCGATATATTTACATAGATGTGTATGTGTGTGGGTGGGTGTGTGTGTATATGAGGAATTCCATGCAGCAGCATTACACCTGAACACCATCATAATTCATCTAACAACAGCGCTGCCAAACTCACCTGCAAATTGGAAAGTAAAATATCGAATGCTATTGGTAAGCGTGTAGCATCTGGCAGCAACAAACCGAATTCCCCACAAAATTCTTTAACACGACGATAAGCTGCAAAAGCGGCAGCGCCAACGAGTCGATGTCGGTGGCAAGTTCGAGGAAAGACGTCGCAAGCAGAAACGCCGGTAAAAAAGCACATAAAAATCGCAATGAAAGAGAAAAGAAAACGAAAGAGGAAATTTAGTAAAAAAAAAAAAAACAAATGCAATTGATGAAAATGCTGAAATGCAGCTAGTAGTGTGAGAAGCAGGGCTGCATTGCTAAGGAAATGGGCATTTTACTACGATATTGCACAATACGGACGCATTAACTTTATGGTTACAGCTAAACCCACTGAATGTGTACTATTTACACAGCATGGCATTAGCTGTGGCAACATGCTCAACAAAGCTAACATTGTTGAAATATTAGGTTTGCAAGCACGTGTGTCACTCAGCTGCACGCCAACGCTTTACCCACACCGCACATGGCCACCTGCTGCACCGCACCATAACCATCTATCACAAGCGCCAGCCCAGCCGCCAGCGTGTGGCACTTTGCACCATCTGTTGGTTGTCATTGTTCGGTTGGCGTATACTAAAACGCTTAATAAGTCAGCTGGGAATGCCCCAAACGCCACCCAAACAGCACCCACCATTATCACCTCCCTCGCTATATCTCTCTCTTTTCCATCTGGTTCCTCTATCTCACAGTGAGTTTGGTGTGTCGTAAAGAATGCCTTATGAAATTGAAACGAATGAGCGGCAACAATAAGCTACAATGTGCAGCTGCAATAATGCCACAATCATTCACACTGTGACTCCACTGCATTGAGCGCTTATGATCCAGAAGCCCGTCGGTGTAGCGAAGTGCATAGAGGAATTTTATGATCGATTGCATGCCCTATTGCAGGCACGGGAAGTTGGGCAGCAATAATAGCCGAAATCCAATGACTGTCAGAAAGCGGCAGGCGGACGGGCAGTCGGGCAGGCAGGCAGGGTGTGTGGCAAGTGACGCACAATAAAATGTGCAAGTGCAGCAAAATTTTATGCAACACTAAGGCAGTGGTATGGTCTCATTACAGCTTGCTGTTATATAACAATTCTATGGAAATTGAAAATGGTAACAGTAACAAATAGCGTATGTGCAAGCTCGCTGGAAATATGTTTTTTTTGCTGGAAAGTTCAAAGCAAAAACAAACTGCATATGAAGTGTATATGTATGCATGGCAATGAGTATTAAACAGAGATTATTGCTTAACAAAACAACAACTTGCTTACGTTCATAGGTATAGGCGCCATAACTTGGTGTTATTGCTGTAACTGTTATTCAAACTCGGGTAAGTTAATTTTCAACAAGAGCTTTTAACAGGAGGACCAGGAAGCTTGCTGTTTGGACGGGCTCAGACCATAGGGAGAGGGGTGCTAGAAAAATTTATTTCATGGGGCATGCAAAGAGGTAGTGAGTATCATACGGCATTTATTGCATGCAGGACATATATTTTTTGTATCGCTACAAATCTCAGAACAGCCGATTCAACGTTACCGGAATTAAATCGGAGTTTATCCGGCGAAGGACTGTTATCTCGGCGATCTAACCCTGTTTGAAGCGATGAGTAGGCGCCATAAGTTGGTAGTGTATACTTTTAAGTACTAGAACGATGTACCAAAGTATTCCAGCAAATATATTCACCAACGCAATTTATTAAGACGCTAGCAGAACTGGTGCTGAGATAAGCACACTCGTGACGCACAACGTTTAAAGTTGTTCTATACTCAATATATATAATATTAATGTTATTTTTTCGAAATTTTATTTAAAGACAACCATTATCTCATCTCATCTTCATAAACCCCTTAGGCGAACGTTTGCTACGCAAAGTTTGCAACATAAAGCTCTTAGAAATTAAAGTTGCGAATTTGCACGCAAATCGACTCATACTTATACATTTACCACGTTATACACACATAAATGAAAAGGCATAGCAATGTTTAATATTACGTATACATAGCAAATCTCCATAAAATTTATTACCTTTCCTATTTGTCTCTACTCAATTGCTTACCCGCCCTCCAACTCACCTGGTCGCTCCGCACGAATTCGTTCATTTATCCACCGTATGTCCTTCTCTGCCGTTATCCGCACAATCTCGGCCTCGAATACATACTCGCTACCAAGTAGTTTTCGTATTACATCGATGTAAGCTACAAAATCCTCCATTGTCAAGTCTGCAATTGCGGTTACAATTTGAAATAAATTAGCCAACAATAAAATGACCAGCAATGAAAACTATGCGCAGCAGCAGTCAAAGTATTTATGTAGATGGCTTAGTGCACGGCAAAATCTGGCACGGAAAACAGCTGCTACCAGTGGCGATTGCAAGTGGCGAAGCCAATGGAATTTTATAACAAATAAATGAAATAAACACATTTCGTCAGAGATTCGTGCCAAGTTTTGCCAACAAGCATTTCTATGCCACTACAGAAATAATAATACAACAGCAACAATAACAATAATGCCACAGCATACTGTAATGCTGAGCTGTTTATGCCCTCTGCATGTATGTATGTATGTATGTATGAGTGTGTCTTTGCTGCCCAAACAATATTGTTAGTACAACAACAATGCGCATAGTGTTGATGGCGCTTTGCTGGTTGTGCGGGTCGATACCGCCACCAACAGGACACAGCAGCGCACCACATAATATCCTGCCACAAAAACTAACCTTTTGCATTTTGATTTACAGCCGGGTCGGAAGCACTTTGGACTACCTCCTGATGTTTTTGCTGTTCTGGCTGATGTTGCAATTGCATTTCTTGAGTTTGCCGTTGTTGTTGTTGTTTATGCTGTTGATGTTGCTGCCACTCTTTGTCGAGCACTTGCCGCCCCTTCGCCACATTCGCATCCGTTTGCTGTTGTGTATTACCAATTTTCATTTCGTTATATTCGGAGCTGTTGCTGTGGCTAGTTGTCGGCAGCCTCGACGTTTTTGGCAGACGCAAAACTTTTTTAAATTGCGGCAATGCTAGCACCAAATTTGCATTACCCTCCGCGCGATAGATCAACTCAATTTGGCTCAATTCCATATGCGACTGCTGCTTTAGCGTTGCCTCTGATTCCAGCTTGTCCGATTGTGTCTCCCCTTGTGGTTGCGCCGCAATACCCAGTAGTGCTTGCAATATTTTCGTAGAGCATTGTTCTTGATGGCGCTTTTGTTGTGGCGATGCTGATGTTGACGATGGCGCTAGCGAGCCGGCAACAAACGTCATGCGGGTGCTGTCCCGTGGCTGCTCGCCTTGCTTGTTGATGTCGGTTGTGGCAATGTTGGTGTTTGCTGCCATCTTTTGTTGCTCTTCACCCGGTTCTCGGTTAAAGTTGTTCAGCTGAATGTCCGTTGATAAGCGTATAGCCGGAACAGTAGGGAGAAGCTGGCCAACTGCAACCGCAGTTGTATCACTTGTCAAAAAACAACTCGTCTGTGTGCGGATTGAAAAGTTTTAATTTTGTTATTGCTGTTTTTTTGTACTTCTTGTTATTTTTCCTATGGCTTGTTATACTCTGTTGTATTAAGCGTCAGATTCATAGCCAGAGCTTATCTTGTAGATAAACAGATTAGGTGGACAAGGTGTGCATTACGCATTCAAGTCCGTCGATAAATTATGTAAAGTGCCCTTCGAATTGCATTCCGCGAAGCGAATGTTGGCTGAAATATAAAAACTTTTGAAAATAACAGGCGATTTGTATTCGCTCTTTAAAATAATCATGTTACCAATTATTTTCAATAAAATTTATTTTCATGCAAAAAATATTTTAAATATATTAAGAATTTAAAGAAAGCATTTAAATGTTAAAGCAATTTTAAGTAAATATACATTTGTGTATATGTAAGAAGGCGGTCAATGCACAAGTTTTCTGAGAAGTAATTTAAATTCAGCACATAAAACTTGAAATTATGCACGTAAATAGTTAGTTGCTTGAAAGTTGTCCATACGATGTCAACTGATGTCTGGTTAACTGACTGAAACTCACTTGTGGAATCTACTCCACAGATTGTATACGGCATAATATTTGTGAACTCCATTTTGTTTAATTCAAAATAAAAGTTTTTAGCTTTCCTACAAATTGCATTTTACTCGTATTTTATGGCTAATCCTGTACAAGGTTTATGCATCTAGTATAAGTACAAATATGCACAAGTTCGGTTATAGTTCCAGTTGCACTTGCCATGCACTCATCCTTTATTTGCTATTTTTTATAGCTATTTTACAAAAGTTTTTACTCCAAATGAACAAAGCGATATACCAGTATAGCGTTACAATTTGCTATTGCAGGAAAGTTGTAAACTTTTGAAGCGCTTTTGTTGACGTAACTGCTTCACATTGGCTGTGGCATTGACGCCCGGTGTGGCCGCTGTATTGGTTAATGTGGTTTGTAAATTAAGGAACCGTTTTTCCGATTTTTTATGCTACTTTTTATTTGCCACACTTCAACTACTAGTAGGGCAATGTACGAATAATAACTTGAACTAAGTCGAGGACTTCGGTTATAAGGGAATGGGTAGCAGCAGCATCTACGTTTGCTTATAATTTAATGACTGGGCATGCTTAATTTTAAAATTTACAATTTCAATTGTTAACGTATACATACCAATATCTTAGAAACCTATAAATGCACACTATTCTGTTTTAAATGCCAATATATTCATCGTTTTAAAATGAAAAACACTTGCACTATTTGCTCATTACTCGCAACAAGTGGCGACTTCATGAATTGATTTCTCTTGTATTTAATAAATAAATGTATTGTTATATATGTTAAACTGAATATATATGATATGCAATTAAATATTATACACATTCGTGTTATTATTTCCGACTATTTAGCACTGCATTTATAATATTTTAGTTCCAATTCGTAATGTGTTAACAAATTCGACTACAGCTGCTTTATTTTGTTTACGTTCTATCAGCTGTTTGCCGGCACTTCAGCGAAAACATATCGTGGTGAACTCTGAGGTGAATTTCTACCAGTGTTGATATTTCTTTCTTTTAAGGCCTCATGTGTTACATTTACAAACGAATGGACGAAAAATTTGTACGTAAGGGTAATTTAAAAGTTTGAGGGAGATTAGCATGTATGAGAAATGTCAATAAAATATAAAATATATGTATGTGCATTAAGAACCGTTGTAAAACCATTCTATTTATTCATGTTAAGTTTCTAAAATTATGATCTGTTGATTATACAACCTGAGCAAGTTGAGTTTTGCAAATATCTTCGAGGATTCACTCTTCTCTTATTGTGCTATCATTTGCATTATTTTGCTAATTTAATCAAAACTTGTAAAATCTAACAGTTAATGTTCAAATTTCCCATTGATTCGAAACAAAAGATTACCATTACTCAATTTTTCTTTGTTCTCCAAATATGAAGTTGTAAAGTTAATCATACCTGAAACCACAAACAAACTTTTTCATAGCATCAACGCTGAATTTCGTTTCTTTCCTTTGACCAGTTATAACTGTTGGCCAGACTTGTGTCTGGTGTATTTCCTTTCGACATTAACACCGCTGCCAATTCAATTTTACAACGAATACCAGTTCTCAATGAATTTCTTTATCCTGTTTCAGTTCTAACTTCGCGTTGCAGCCAAGGAATGCTGTATTAGACAAACTGTTATTGCAAAGTTTTGGTATGTAGGAGGTATGCAACTCGTTTATACAGAGGCGTATTCCCCAAGTTGAATAAGGGGCACAAACATTGGGAAAAATGAGTAGTTCCTTAAGTATTGAAATTTTAATTTTCTTGTATGCTGCTATTTTGACAAGGACAGTCCAACTATGTATATTCGTAGTCGTACTATCTGGATTACTAAGTGATATTGTGTCCGAAAGCTTGGCAGTCTTACTTCTTATAGCTCAACTATCTTTAGAATTTCGAACCTTATTTAGGTAAATGGGGATTCAAAGCCCACAGGATCGCCAGTCGCCTCTGTGCGATGACTTGTATAACAACTACCGCGGTTGCGATGGCATACTCACTAATCCTTAAGCTAATACAAGACTGAGAATAACAGATATTGCACAGACACCGCGAAATAACTCCTTCGCACAGCCACACCCCCTTCTGCTAAGGGCGGTTTGCGCGCGACACGAGTCTTTTGTGCTCTGCTACAAATTCCTTTTCAAAATGTGTCTGCAACGTTTCCGCTTTGGCCTATCTCCCTTTCAACCTTAAAACAAGATGCCAGGCCGCTTTGAAGGCGTCCGTGTTGTTGGTAAGACATTGGCCACTTAGCTGGCTGACTCCATGTCCATGACTTTGCCAACCAGAAGCCACGTGAAAAATTTATTTTGTGGCTGTGAGGCAAGTTCGTTGTTTTCGTCGTATCTTCCCCTACCGCCGTCCATCCTCGCCCACACCATTCCACAGCCATGTGCCAGCCTACTTTTAATCCTTTGAAGTACCTATCAAAGCAACTGGGAAATCAAAGGCCAAAACAGAAATGTTCGCTTGTGGAACGCGCGAATTTCAGATTTTTTTTGTTTTTAATCTGCCGCTACGATTTGTTATGCAATCTCGTTGTTTTCGACTAAAATATACGAGTTTTATCGCTTGTGCTTGGCCTTAAGACTAGTTTAAAGGTTATTGCTTTTATTCCAAACCAGACATAATTCAGATGCCAATTTTTGTTCAGGAAATTTATGCTTTTAACGGTAACGGATAAATTTCTGTTTAAGTAAATGAAAGTGTAATGATAATAATAAATTCGTTCTTTGTTATTGAAAAATAATTAACGATTTGGCTGCAAGCGCTTCGGATGGGAGTAATTTTGAACATCTTCACAACAACAATGGATGAATTCAATTTCTAACAAATTTTCGGTTACTGGTGTATTGATTATGGGTAACGGAAGGACTGAAGAATGGATACTGAATTGAGGTGGAGACTACTATGACGATCTTAATTGGAAATATAATAACTTCTGAGGGACTTCGCAGCATACAGTTTTTCAAAACTAACCCGCTTTTACTCGAATGGCTTGCTTCATGTTATTTTGAAGGATTTGATTCGTTTATGCATTACCTACTGAAAAATTAAACAGTCAGCAATGGAGACGGTGGGTAATACAAACTACTCAACTTAATGAAATGCATAAAAAAAACATTAATTTCGGCGGCACCGAAGCTATAATACCCTTCAAAGGTGCATTTATTATAGCGAAAGCGGTTATAAAAAGATCTTTAACTTAATTTTGATTGGTCAGTTTGAATGGCAAATATATGCTAGTGTGGTCCGATCTGAACTATTTCTTCGGGCATTGTAGCTATATGCAATAGTTGTGCGATATCGGCGGTACCGACAAATGGGCAGCTTCTTGGTGAGAAAACGACGTGCAATTTTCGGTCCATAGATATATCAGTTATACTGTGATTTAACAAAGAAGTAAAGTTATTTTTCATTTGGAGCTGTAAAAAATTGCATAATATAACAAATGAGGTGCGTCTTCGAGTTCAAAAACAAATGAACAAGTTGAGCTCGATGTCGAGTCAACGTTTCAGAACTGCACGCTCGCCTTTAGCTACTGCAGCCCCACTTTAATGCTTAAGAAATGTGCTGTCTACAGTTCAAAAACATTCACTTCAATATCGCCTTAACCCTATGGCCTTTAACGTCGTCTAAATTTATATATGTCATGCCCTTGCCTGCTAAAAACGTCTCAATCACTACCTGCCAAGCCTCTATATCCTCATCTTCACAACAATGCTGGATGTCACCTTGAGTGCAGGCAATCAGAAGTAATCGAAAGTCCTTTGTCACCGTCGATTTCGAGCACAGAGACTCCTGGCAATAAGAAAAAGCCAAAAGCGTCTTTGACAATCGCACGATTGTGTACTCTGGAGCGCCCTGAAGATGCATGCGAACGATTTCATTTCAATTGCAAATTTAACGTTGCATTTAAATAGTGACGATAGTTCGATAGTCACACACAGGCGTACACGTGCATTTTATCGACTTACAAAGCAAAAGCCAGTATGCGCGCCTGTAAATATGCTTGCAAATCAGTGTGTTTGCGTTGAGAAACGAAGCATGAAATGTAAACACAATACGCTCACAAGCCAACGGGCGCCTAGACGGGGTACTGTGCTCCAGTGCTGGAGCGAGACAGGATGCGCATGCGTATGCAGCGTAACTAAGTAGTAATACAAATCACGTTGCACGATTGTGGCGTTTGTAGTGGTGTCGAGCACATGAACACGTCCGTATATCTTGTGTATATTGCTTTTTGCTCTCTTGCTTAGTCTCAAAGACATTGTTGTTCTTCGCAGCAAGCGCTCGCCGCCCTACGCCGCCTTGTACTCCCCCTCATCTCTTCTACTGCATTCCTCACTGCTTTGCATCCTGCGCTCCAGTGGAGTGTGACAGTCGCATCGTTCAGATACATTTGAAGTGCATTCGAAGTCTTTTATTGCTGCTTTTTTCTTGTGGTTAATTGAGTGTAAACTATTTGCATCGATATCACTTGTTTTTTATTAATATTTTTTTTCACTTGTAGCGCTGCGGTGTCCTGATGTGTGTGCGCATGCAACTTGCTGTCGCAATCTCATTGCGGTCATTTATGTGCAAGTTATTATTAAGAAATATATTACATAAAAATAAAATAATATGCTGCTAGCAAGCAAATTACTTCTCTCTCTCTTTCTCTTTTCGCTGCTGTGCATAACGGCGATTCTTCTTATGAGATATTTCAAAATACATATATACATATTAAAATGGTATTAGACCCTAACGGTAAATCAAGCTTGTTATGAAGTCATAAATTCTCATAGATTCTCAGCTTTATGGTAAACATCTCCGATCTGGACTCACATAGTCGAACTTTTCAACTTATTTCATTTGAACTAGTAAAAATCGTGTATTCTGAAATTTTGGAATTTCACCCTAAAATCTACAAAATTACAACATTTGCAAGACTGCGAATACTCTCCAGTCGAGTTTAGACAAGAAATGTTTACGAGAGTTGCTGCTCGGCTTCTCTGAGAGTCAGGAGTGGTCTTATATCGGAGCTTACATAACGTTGAAAATTGTTTATCTCGCTCTCTCTTCAAGCTACAACTTTTACAATCACATATTTTATAATTTTTCTGTAGTTTAAAACTTGAACTACATTTGTATTCGAGTGTTACACATTATTAGCTAAAAAGTCTCGACAGGAATTTTCGAGCAGTTCCGTATTTATAAGGTTTATTAGCGTTTCCGTTTCTCGACAATATAGCTTTTTCCTCTCTCTTTCATTTACCTTTTTGAAATTATATTTTCTAAAGAACTTAAGGTGTCATACAATTTTGCTAAGTTCCTCTCCTATTAATAAATCTCTCCACGAAATGAAAAATTGCTTTAACACAGACACAAAAGGTTGTAGAGCCCTTAGTTTATTTATGTTTTGTTTGCACTACTTGACCCAGTTTCTGACAAGTATAGTATTTTCTCAATAAAATCTCATAACGTACTAATGAAAGGATCCTTTGTGCCAATGCAAATATATGAGATAGCTGGCGTTTAAGTAAACAATGATACGCATACAATATGCCATTCTCCACATTTAACGGAGACGTTTAAGCAATTAACAAATTAACACCAAACACCTTTGTAAATTATTCATTATAGTCACCAGACTCCACACCAACATAGTCTCACACACACATCCACACAGGCAAACGAGCGCACAGTTTTATTGGTGGAGCCACAGTTGCGTCCGGCCTCTAAAGGTATTGGCTGCCCAGCTTTACGTGCTGTGTTACGGAGCAGTAACTTGATGCTCGTGTCGCACTTTGCAATTCCCCATGGCAGCACTCGGACGGAAAATGTTGGGATCTACACATATATAAATGCCAATAAATGAAAGTACACACACAGACACAAAATATTTGCTGCTGCCCGGTGAGAGCGGCCTCTTTAGAATGCAACTGCAACAAAGGCATATGGGGCAT